TAAAGCCCTGTCCCAGCCTCCTAATTTCTTTCTGAGGTTACCAAACATGAGCATATTTTTTTCATGGCTTACTTCTGATTAGTATTTCTGGCTTTTGAAGATAATTTTTAAGGTTTTATTTTACTTGGATGTGGTGGCACAATTCTTCGTCCCTGTAGAGGCAGGCGAATCTCTGTGAGTTGAAATGCAGCCTGGTCTACCTAGTAAGTTTCAGGCCAGGTAGAGTTACATAGGGACAGATTTCTCAAAACCAACACAAACAACAAACATGTACTTCATTTTATTTCATGTGTGTGAGTATTTTACCTTCATTTGTGTATTTGTACCACGTGTGTCTGATGCATTAGACACGTGTGTCTGAAGTCAGAAGAATTAGGATCCATGAAGCTGGAAATAAGGTTGATGTGTAACACCGTGGGTGTTCTGAGTGGGGACTGAGGAATCAGATCAAAACCAAAATCCAGCTGTAGATAAAGTTGTGCTGGACTCCAAAGGTTTTAGACACGTATCCACAGGTGAGTCATGGTGGTACATACTTAACAGTTTCTGCATTTGGGAAATCAAGGCAGGAAGAGCCTGAAATTCAAGGTTGCCCTCAGCTACATGGCCTTTTAAAGGCTAGCCTGGGGCACTTGATAGCCTGTCTCATAACAAAACTAAACATAAAAAATTATTGAAGCAAGCAAGCAAAAATGACTTAGAATCAGGGAAACTTAGAATCCAGAGGCTAGAGTCACTGCCTGACCTCTGGAGGTTGGTCACTCCATGCTGACACCATTGAGCCCACTGAGAGGCCACCTATGGGTAGCTTAAGGTCACACACACGTACACACACACACCTGCTTGTCTTGTGCAATGCAAATGTTTCAGTTCTTGGTTGTGAGCCAAACATAGTGAGATAGTATGAAGGTAAGAGTATATTATCACTTGCTGGAAGCCAGCATCATTCACGGTGTGAGTTACAGGGTAGGTCTGGATACATATATACTGCCTACTCATAAAACTAAGAACAATCTGCTATAGGATCATGCCTTTAACTCAGCACTCAGTACGCTGAGTCGGGCAAGCAAGTTTCCATGTATTTGCAAGTGTATTAGAATCTCAGGACAGCCTGCTTTACACAGTGAAATCTTGCCTCAAACAACAAGAATATATGAATGAATATCCAAACTAATTACTGAATGGATTTTAAAAAGGTCTGGGAAATGGTTCAGCAGAGAAAGTCCTTTCCCATATTATGTGTATAGCGCCATAAGAGAATATCAAAGGTTTTGTAAATGAGGGTCTGGAGAGATGAATATACAAAGTACTTAAAGGCTCGAGCCATTAATCCTGGCACTTGGGAGGCAGATGCAGGCAAATCTTTGTGTTTGATGGCAGCCTGGTTGACACAGTGAATTCCAGGACAGCCAGAGCCACACAGAGCAACCCTGTGTCAAAAAAACAAGTAGACAGAGGAGGAGGAGGAGAAGGAATAATGAAGGAGGAGGAGGAAGCAGCAGCAGAAGCAGCAGCAGAATTCCCAAGGTCCCCATGGTGGCTCACAACCCTATGTCACTCCAGGTCCTGGGAATCCATTACCCTCTTCTGGCCTCTGGCAGCACCTACACCAGTCATGCGTGCAGACAAAATGCTCATAAAATAAACACACCTCATAAACTATTTCCAGTCATGGACTGGTGGTATATGCCTTTAATCCTACCCCTCCAGCTCTTCAGAGGCAGAGGTAGCTCTCTGAGTTCAAGCCAGCCTTCCCAATATATGAGTGCCGTTGGAGGCCATAGGCATTGGGTCCCCTGGAGCTGGAATTACAGGCAGTTGTGAGCTGCCTGAAATGAATGCTGGGAACTGGACTCAGGTGCTCTGGAAGAGCAGACAGCATTCTTAACTGTTGACTCATCTCACTAGCCCCTTATTTTGTCTTGCTTTTTGAAGTGCTGGGGGTTGAGCATACTAGCCAAGCACCCTACCACTGACCTACATCCCTCTCTTGTGTGGCTAAATCTTAACATACAGTGTTGAGAGTGCAAAGTAAGTTGTAGAAAGATACAGCAGGTGGCAACATTTTTATAGCTTTAAACTGTGTAGAAGGATTATACATTGTTTAAAATACACATATAAACATACCCTGACATTGGGGGATGGGAGAGCACTAGGGTTATGATTGTAGCTAAACAACTGGCTTGTTCATGAGGGTGCCGAGTACTTCAACTATAGTTGTAATCTTTTCTTCCTTTTTCTTTTCCTTTACTCATTTGATGTATTCTGCTGCCTTCTGTCAGAAGAGGGCAGTTTGTACATAAGGGTCGGGCCATGTACTGGAGTTTGAGGGATGCATCTCTGAATAAAACTCACTTTTCTCTCTCCCGACAGCCATCAGTGGCCCCTCATCCAGGGGTGAGACTTCATGACGTCCTTTCCATCCAAGTTAGGCTTTTGTGTGCAACTGCCCTGCTTTGCCCTGCTGTACGTGGAAAATAGTTTCCCTGTAGTTGCCACCGCCTCTGCCTCTTAAGCCTTGTGCTCTCTCTTGCAATAATAACCCTTGAGCCTTGGGAAGATGGGGTGATAAAAATAACCCCCTTATGGCTAAGCACTCTGCACTGAACTTTTACTCTGTGTTTTGTTTTATGTGAGGGTGTCTTGCCAGCATGTATGTATGTCTGTGCTCTATCCATGCCTGGTGTCTGCAGAGGCCAGAGGAGAGCATTAGATCTCCTGCAACTGGAATCACAGATGATTGTGAGCTACCGTGTAGGTGCCGGGAACTGAGCCAATGCCTTCTGGAAAGGCAGCCAGTGCTCTTAACAGCTGAGCAATCTGTCCAGACTCTCCAACAACCCCTCTTTAAGACAGGTTCTTGGTGTGGCCCAAGGTGGTCTCAAACTCTACAGCTTCTTGCCTCAGCTGTGTCAGAGTGTTGAGATGACAGCATATGTGAATAGACTCGCTTAACTCACTGAGTGACTAAAGCAGGATCCATTTAAGGGGAAAGAAATAATGTCTATGACCTGAGAACTTTCAACTGGAACATGAATCCAAAATTGGTGTTTTGTTTTTTTACAGAGACTAGAGTTCTCCCATCCTTATGATCACCACTGTGTTGCCATCAGTTTCTATAAGGTAACTAATCTCTCCAGGGTTCTAAAGCAGATAGCACTTGAGATATCTTTCATAATCAGTAACCCTCCAACTCATTGAAAGAATGTATCTAGACAGGTGATAGCGCACGCCTTTGATCCCAGCACTCTGGAGGCAGCAGCAGGTGGATCTGAGTTCCAGGTCAGCCTGGTCCACAGAGTGAGTTCCAGGACAGCCAGGGCTACACAGAAAGATCCTGTCCGAAACAAAGGAAGAAAGAGAGAGAGAGAGAGAGAGAGAGAGAGAGAGAGAGAGAGAGAGAGAGAACCTTAATACCATGAGAGAACCTTAATACCATTTGCTTATTTCACAGTGGGACATTTTTCTTTACACAAGCATAGGAGCTGAGGTGTGCTCGGGGGGGAGAGGCTCTGGTGAGTGGCAGGTCTTCCTTAAATCTGGTCCAGTTAGCAATCCTATCAATGTTTTGTCTGCCTATGTTGTAGAGTCAGTAGAGTACTAGGTTGAATAAATTTGAACAGAAGGAGTCATGGGCACTGTTCACAAGTTACTTACAGTGTCATTATGGAACAAGGAATATAGGAAACTACTGGTCAGACATAACTAACTACAAAATTGTGATCACCCTTAGAAAATAGGACAGTATAAAAAAGAAGCAGTCAGCCCTCATTTGTGGACTCTGCATTTGTAAACTGCCTAGTCCCTAAAACCTACCTAAAATGTCCAAATCAATCCTTACAGTGTTTTTTTAGTTTTTCTCCAACAAGGAGAAAGGCAAATTTTAGTTGCCTAGTGTGCTTGTTCCTGAAGCTAAATAAGGTACTCTGCCCTCTTGAGTTTTCAGACTGTAACTTTCTACCAACTACATAGTGTCACTTTCCCACACTTTTACTGATTTTGCTATTGAAAATGGCCCCCAAGTATACTGCTGTAAGATTCTGAAATGACAAAAGCTAATGATGTAATATAGAGAAAATATGTGTACTAAATTATCTTTCAGTTAGGTATGTATTGGAACGCTGTTGGAGCTGAGTTTAATGTTAATGAAGTGACAATATAAATTAAATAGGGAACATATATAAAACAAGATTTCATACTGGTTGATGAAAATGTGATCCGAAGCCAAGTGTGGCGGTACACGATGGTAACCGCAGTGCTCAGACATGCATGTGAGGTGAGTTTGCAGCATGCCTGCACTACACAGCAAGACTTTTATTTAAGAACACTCAAGAGCGCGCGTGCGAGCACGAGAGAGACAGAGAGAGACAGAGAGACAGAGACACAGATCTGGAGATCTGAGACTAGCTTTCCTCAGAATTCACTAATTCAGTATTCCTGTCAAGTCTACACAATATAACCACTGCAGATAAAGAGAACCAAATATACACCGAGGATAAAATATCTCAAAATTAACACAAGGAACAAAACTTCCCAAGAAACTACTAAACACAGCTATACAGCTCTACCAAATAACCTAGGCAAGCAGCGACTCTGGCTCCCGGTACCTCTGCCTCTCTAATCTTCCTGTCCTGTCTCCATTTGTTTTCCAAAAAAACGCTAAACTAGATTTGACAGACACGGATAATCAACACACTAGCGTACAAGTGGGTTCTCTGAGATGTCCACAAAGTCAATTGTAAAGTTCTACGAGAACCCACAGAATAGTATTCCCTCAACGTGGTTTTCTGCCTTTTTTATCTACCCAAGCACATAAAAACACTTTAGGTCTCCTGCAGCTCCTGCTTCTAGGTCTCAAGAAGGCTGCCCTTCGGCTTCTTTAAGAGGAGGCCGGGAGCTCCGCCCTACCCGGAAATGGCTGTCCGCACGTGCTCTGCGCATGCCCGGTGTCGCGCTACTTAAGGAATTGCCCCAGACGGCAAGATGGCGATCGGGCCTGCGGCTAGCTGCTCCTCCCGGCATGCCTAGCGACCGGCCCCCGAGCAGAGTAATGGGGATCCGGTAGGGCCCAGCGAGTGTCCGGGGCTGAGGCGCAGCCGCGGGCCCGAGCGTTGAGGGCTCACAGAGAGCCAAGATGGAGACGTGGCGCTGTGTGAGGAGGGGCTACGGCCGCTGTGTAGCGGGACGAGGCCGGTCAGTTGCGAGCGGCAGGCGGGAAGGAGGGAGGGACCTGGAGGGGCGGGCGGGGAGGCGGGGCGGGGCGGCAGGGCGCGGG